TCACGTTTGTAGTAGTAGTATGGGGTGGCTTCAGCGTCACGTTTGTAGTAGTAGTATGGGGTGGCTTCAGCGTCACGTTTGTAGTAGTAGTATGGGGTGGCTTCAGCGTCACGTTTGTAGTAGTAGTAGGGAGATGCTTCGGCGTCACGCTTGTAGTAGTAGTAGGGAGATGCTTCGGCGTCACGCTTGTAGTAGTAGTAGGGAGATGCTTCGGCATCACGCTTGTAGTAGTAGTATGGCTCTATTTCGTTTAAAAAAAAAAGAGTGGAATACATTAAAAATTTTCTAAGATTGCTAGTTAAACAGAAAATTGTTTCATACCGGCAACAGCCAAAGCAACGAATAAGGTAACAAAAAGAAGTGCGGATTTCATTTTTGCAGGTAAGATTTTTTATATGATTCGAGAATTGAAGTGAGGAATGTCGAAGGGGGACCAACGCGAGTTTATATAGAATTCGAGATACATTAATTCTGATTTTTCTAAAGCCTCTTTCGGTATTGAAAACACAAAACACATTATTAAGCCTCATATTTCGTATGAGAATAATCATTTATTGTTAGAACCTTTATTAAATGCCTAGGCTGTTCCGAGGCGATTTGTTTTGTTATTCCAAAACAAACAGCCGAGCGAAAAGGCAAAACTCAGTCGCGTTCTGGCTTGGGTTGTGACTTTGATAGGTATTGCCTAAAATAGCACATAGATCAGCCATATGTATTATTAGATGTGGCTAAAGTGTTTTATTCCTCCGTGCCACCGAGGAATTGTTTAATCAAAGATTTTAACGATAATTTCTGATTACGCAAGACATAATAATTTCCCAACATTCTCGTAAATTCTTATTAGATTCTTATTAGATGATGAAGTATGTTCACTTTTCACGTAAATTGCAAATTATCTAATTATTCTATAATGAAATAGAGAATCTAGATGCGCGGAATTCAGCCACATAAAGATATACAAAGAATTAAAGGAGACTATCCGATGGAATTAATTAATTTCTGTGGCAATAATTATCTATCTATCTTCACTTATAGAACAAAAAAATTCGATTTCGATCTTTAAGATTTCAGAAAACTTTTCTCTATATAAACCCACGCTGAACTCCTCAATGAATCCTCACTTTTCAGAAAACGTTGACATAAAAAGTATTCTAATAAATCATAATGAAATCCGTTACAGTTCTTCTAGTTTCTTTATTCGTTGCCTTGGCTGTCGCCGGTAAATAATATTCGAATTGACGTAAAGAAGTTCAATTCTGTAATTAATGTCATTACTCTTTCTTTAATAAAACAGAGCCATACTACTACTACAAGCGTGACGCCGAAGCATCTCCCTACTACTACTACAAACGTGACGCCGAAGCATCTCCCTACTACTACTACAAGCGTGATGCCGAAGCCACCCCCTACTACTACTACAAGCGTGATGCCGAAGCAACCCCATACTACTACTACAAGCGTGATGCCGAAGCAACCCCATACTACTACTACAAGCGTGACGCCGAAGCCACCCCATACTACTACTACAAGCGTGACGCCGAAGCCACCCCATACTACTACTACAAGCGTGATGCCGAAGCCACCCCATACTACTACTACAAGCGTGATGCCGAAGCCACCCCATACTACTACTACAAGCGTGATGCTGAAGCCACCCCATACTACTACTACAAGCGTGATGCTGAAGCCACCCCATACTACTACTACAAGCGTGATGCCGATGCATCCCCCTACTACTACTACTAAACCAACATACAACATTATGATAGACTTGATGTCGGGGATTTTCGTTAATACTACATACGGTGTGGACCCTGGATTGTTGCTGACAAATACAATTAATGATTTTTACGTTGCAACAAAAGGTGTGATTATCCTCCTATCTACTTTCACGATCACAATTTTCAGGGTTTCACAACGATAGAAATATAGATAAAAAATTATTTACACTTGTAAATAGCCCTTGTTTTCTTTTTTTAATGTAAATTACGATTTTTGAGTTATGTTCTTTTAATAAAAATAGAAATAAAAATTTCACGTAAGTCCCATATTATGTATTGATAACTGGATCCATGTGTCCATGATCAAATTTGATGAATTCACAACATCACTATAACCGGCATTAACACAAACCAATTAATATGGGTCAGTAAAAAATTTTTTTTGAGAACCGTGAAAAGGTGGAGTTTAATACACAATACTTTCGCTACGAACCAAAATCATGTGATATCAGAGTTATAGTACACCCTGCCAGAAGTCACCGGACGTCGATCAATTTGAGTGCAAGGGCTTCATATCCACTTTGGAACAATCGTATCAAGGAGATATCAAGGGGTCAACTCTGCATATTTACATAAAAACTTGTTGAATGGGTTTTAGGCAAGAACAGTGCAAGATAGTGGTACTCGGCTCAGATGTTAGCATTGATCTGATGATCAGGTGTGAGTATGGTTCCGAAAATTGAAATCGAACAGAATCGCAAGGAATCGCATAAGGTTCGGAACACTATTAAAAATGATGGTGCGGTATATCCCACCTATTAAATTTAATATAAACTTGAGAATCAAATACAGAATCGAAGAGAATCAATCGTTAGGATCCTTAGGTGTGAGCCTGACTTTGGAACTTGAACCCATATTGAATCCGATTTAAATATTAAAGACTAACTTATTATTTATTTTATTGGATTTATTTCAAGGGAAGTATCACGATCCCTCTGCATAATGAGAATCAAGAGGCTAAAATTATTCTGTAGTAAACAGCTTTAATAATAATTTTCTTATTTACGTACTATATCAACAACGTATGCGTAAATCCATGAATCATGTAAGTAAATAAGGAAATCCATTGTACAGTATACTGTATACGGCGAGATAAGAATTCAAAGATAAACATTTTCAATTTACTTTTATAATTTCGAAACATCAGAGAACTTTTACGGCGTAGGAGTCTCGTTTCAGACTCAAAATTTTAATTGACTTCAAAAAATTACCGCAAGAAATAAAGGGATAACCAAGAGGTTTACAACAATGAAAGTCATCAACAAATACTCGTAACAATAAATAGAATGAAATTCATCGATAATGGGTGCCATGTCACGTGAAGAGAAAGTTAACCTATCAAAGGACTAAAAAGAAAACTGCGTTAAATAAAAATAACAATAATTAGATGCTACTATTTACATTTAAGAAATGCCGAAATAATAATAAAATTTTCACATTATTTACAATTGAGCAGGAGAATAAACGAATGAATAAAGTTGAAAAGCAAAAAAATAAAATGTATACGGTGGGTGAAGGGGTACAAAAAGATCAAATCGAGGTATCGTTATTCAAAGTGATAAACACTTTTTGTTTCTTGAAGATGTAGGTGTTGTTAATGTTGCTCGGATCCTAAAAGGTTAAATAAACTTAACATTTTGTCACGTGAAATCAAAGAGTCGATATTATCAAAAGTATACATACGAGTCACATCGTTTCTTTAGATTTCCCATTGAAGCATCGGAAATCGGTGATTTTTGGTGATTTATTTTTTCTCGTAGAGCACGCATTTTAAATGTTGTCTAAAGTAAAAAAAATCCAACATTAAATTATTTGTATAAAAGTGATTCTTTAAGAGCACAAAAAATAAAGCATACTTCTTGCAGATTCTGAATATTTCTCCTCATAGAAATCAAACATTTACTCGGAATTGGTGTATTATCGTGTTCCCTTTTACCATTTTCCATGGTCCTTTCAAAAGTATCGGCATAATTATTATTGCAATAATCGTTTTTAGGCGGTAAAACATATTCAAGTGGAAACGACGTGAAGAATGGTATGTAATCTTTTATTACATTCGACTTGGTTTTTCGCGATTTTCGATAAGAGGCTGGTGACTCAAGGCCGAGATAATTTGAGAAAGATGTATCACAAGCAACTGGAGAAGATTGGAAGTTAAGGTAAATTTCAACGGATTCACTATATCCGGAATCTGAACGAGCGCGAGTTTTGAACGACATTTTTTGAATGATTTTTCGAGTGTTCTCAGAATAAAGATATCGAGGATTGTTGCCAAGGAAAGATTTAAAGTTCGGATTGAATCTGATACGAGAGAATAAGATCAGGATGCAATGTGTTTTTTTTAAAAAATAGAAAACTTGAACGAATGTTCTTTTCAACCTTAGACACCAAATCGCTACTATATGCGAAGATAAGTTGAACACAACAAATCTTCCAAGGCAAAACCTCGTCGTTTTATAGATTTCGAAACGACAACACTCGCTGTTCCATAGAGAAAAAATCTATGCAAGGTCAATTTCGAGATCAAATTTCATTATTCAAAAAAGTTCTCTGGATCATATTAAAGAATGCACCATTGAATCAAATAAAGTTTTCGCGCCTAAAGAACAATTTACAATACAAGCATGCATTTGATCGAATTGTATTTGGGTCATCGAAATTGGTCACGAAACATTAATCCAATAAAGCAGTCAAAGGGATCTTTATATAATCGTAGCTTACTTGCACTTCTTTCGAAATCTCATGTAATCGTAAGTCATTCATTTTCTAAATATTTGATATGAAAGTTTCAGGGGATTTTCATAATGTTTCAGGAGTATATTAATTCAGGGATTTGATCGAAATATATCACGCATAAAGAAAGGAAAGAAGAGAGAGAAATTCCACAACTTAATATAAAGAACTATTTTTATTTCTTTCTTTTACGACAATTAATGCACGCACATATTTTTGCAGATATCATCAAAGGGTTATGTTTTTATGAACGTATAAATACCCTTCGAAAATGTGCTTGTTTGCGTAATGCCCGAAAAAATTCAAGTTTTTTCGTCATTTTGCTCTCAAAGTCTTAACATCGTGTTACGAACACTTTAAAGATTACTGATATACAGTATACAATTTTATTCTACGCGAGAGGCCTGATACTTGAATGAACATCGTTCCAAATATAGTGCAATATATTATATACAACTACGAATTTCTTTAAAAAAGTCTCTAATTATCGTATCAGAAACTTAATAATTTTATAAATTTCTCGTTTTGTTGGTTTTTTTCAAATGTCTGTTATTATTATATTTACACGGATTAATATACTTGCATTTCTGAGATATTCTGTTGTTCTGAAGATTGTTTTTTGCTCAAAGAAACGACGTTTCGAATCAAGAGTGTGTTGACGAACGTTAATTTAATCACGTGCAAACCACATTTGAGGATTGACAGCCACTGTGCTACTCAAACTCGCACACTGTCCGTATTTTTAGAAACAATGACTTTACCACTGTTACGTAAAGGCGACTTCCAAATCAAGAATATGTTAATATATCAAACAATAGCTGTTTTAATTTGATGACCCAAAATAGTTAAGGATCTTACAAATTTAACCTTGCTACACCAGTTATGGCATCCAACCAATATAAGTATGATCTATTTGATGATAAAATCTTGGCTTTATCAAACGCCTCTCATTTAAATGCAATGCACGGTCGGCCAATAGGATAGGATCACTTTCTCCTCCGAAGTTCCTTTGGTTTCTTTTTGGACGAAAACGCGTTCTATGAATGACATATGCATGCTTAGGGTCCACTTAATATACGATTAAGTTAGAACTGCATAGATCTACGACAAAGCGAGTTTGACGAGCACGAACCATTAATCATTGTCTCTTCTCGACTAAAGAAACTCTTAAAATCTTCATTCATTAGTTATCTTGTTCTTTCAGTGCGATGGATATCTCACCACTCCGACTACGATAAATTTGGATTATTTTTGCCACGTGGAAATCCTAAATGATTGCGTTTAGTTCAAAGAAAAACAATTTATTTTTACCAAACGGCAAAAATATTTTTTTTTTTATTCATTGAGTATATAAATATGTGGATAAGTATCCACATTGTTATCGTTAATTTATTAAGAGAAACTGTAAAGAATCAAATTTTAATTAATACGTATACTGTATGTTAAGTATCCTTGGAACATCTTTTTTACTCACAGTACCTCTATCAATCAATTGTTTATTGATCTTTTTTATCACAAGAAAATAAAAGGTATAAACAATATATATAGCTTACTCTTTTTTGACAATTAATATATAATTGAGAACATGTTATTTCATAGCGAGAAAAAAATAACAAATTGATTGATCAATCAATTGATTTTGGGATTACGATTTACAATATAAAATGTAATGTAATACAGTATAAATTTATTTGAGCTTTGCAAAGGTTATGTAAAATATTGAATGAATATACTGTATACTGCTATTCATTAAATAATTTTTTTTTATTTTTTGTAATTTTTTGTAATTTTTTTATATCAAATTAATTTTTGAAATTATGTATGTTGTCAAAAATCATAATAATTTATAATAATTTTTATAATTTTAGTCTATATACATTGTATGTACTTTAATTAAATTTCATATTTATAAAGTATTCTTTTTTTGAATAAAAAGTATATAGACTAAATAAAATCTTTAAGAAATAAAAATTCTATTACTGAAACTAAAAATATAATATCAATACTAATAATGCCTTGATATATTAACTCTGGACTTAATACTTCCAGGCTTGGGTTAATAGCAACTAATATAAAAAATAGTTTGATGTAGTTTAGCAATATATAGAATAGTTTATAAATGGTAATTTCTGTAATACAAGAAACACACATATAAATTAAATAAAATTTTATACTAGATAAGAACCAACTAATTGAATAAAAAAAAATTAATTATATGTATTATAAAAGAATAAATAAATAAATAATTTTTTTATACATGATTTTTTTAATATATGATTTCTTTTATAAAATTATTTTTTAAAAAATTTCTCTTCTTTGAAAACTTTAATAACAAAATATTCTTGAAAAAAATATAGTTTAAAAAATTGTTATTTAAAAACAAATTTTTAAACAAATAATAATTATTTGTTATATTATGTTACTTAGTAATTATAATATATTTTAGCTTTTGAAAAATATCTGAATTCAATTTCATTATATAATTTAAGAATTTATTTTTACTATTATTGTATAACAGTAATTTTAGCAATAGTCTATTTAAAAAGATTTAATATTTAATAAAAATATTAATTAATAATTTGATTATTAGAAAATAAATAACAAAACATAAATTATATGCAATACTTCTTTTCTTTTTTTTTTATAAATAAATATTTTGTGTAATTTGATAACAAAAATTGGCTACAGTTATTGATAACTTAATAACAAAAATTAATTACAATTATTAATAACTTGATAATAAAAATTAGTTACAATTATTAATAATATAATATTTTTTTAAATCATATTTTTATTTAATTATCTTTATATAATCTAATAATAAAAATTAATCACTTTAATAAATATATAACTTGTATACTTTTTAAAAAGTCAAATTTAATATTATTAATGTTTTCATCAATTATATAAATTTTTATATATTAATATATTTTTAATTAATTTTCATTGAATAAAAATATTGATTTAAATTATAATGTCTCAAATATATTTCTTTTCTATTATTTATAGAAACCTAAATTTTATAATATTGTTTATATACTGATTTAGAGTTCCAATCGGTATTAGTAAATATCATTACCAATTTATCAGTTTCAGTTTTGGTATCAATTTTAAAACTAAAATACTGAATTGAAATTTTTGGTAAAATACCAATTAGTTTTCGGTATTTTTAAAAATACCGATTGGTAATTAATATTAACAATAGAAGTTATATTAATATTAATAATAGAAGTTATATCAAACTATAAATAGAATTTTTATTATGTAATTTTGATAAATACTGTTACTGATAAGGTTTTGATCGATATTGCTTTTGATTTTAATACTAATTTTAAAACTAAAATATCAAACTGAAATTTTTGATAAAGTACTAATTGATTTTGATATTTTTAAAAAATAACAATTGGTAATTAATAATAACAATAAAAGTTATATTAATATTAATAAAAGTTATATCAAACTATAAATATAAATAAAATTTTTATTATATAAGTTCAATAAATACCATTATCAATTTATTATTTCAGATTCAATACTTTTTGAAAATATTAATCTATATTAGATAAAAATTGACAATAGAAATTATACTGAACTATAAATATAAAAATACATTATAAAAAATTGTTTTATTGTTATTAACTGTTTTTTTAAAATGGAAGAATATGATACTTATTTTGAGTTTCCAGAAAAAATTGTTTTTGCAAATTTTAAACAAGAGAAATTTCAAAATAGCTTTTGAGAGTAATGAAATTCTTGATGATGAAATAGCAAGTACTTCAACAAATAATAGTTCTAAAAAATTTTGGAGCTGGGTTTGGGCTCATTTTACTTTTAATGAAAATATACAAAAACCACAATATAATTAAAGCAGTTATTCAATCAAATAAAGGCAGTACTACTGGTATGGCCATACATATTAAGAATAAACATCCTTTAAAAATTCAAGAAAACAATCAACGGTTAACATTAGAACAAATGATACAAAATATTTTAATTCCAGTAAGGCATATTTAATATTTTTTTAAATTTAAAATTAAAAAAATATTAATTTATTTTTAGACATATAGTGTAGAACACTTTCGACAATTATTTATAAAATGGATTATAATTAATAATCTCCTATTTACAAGTGTTGAATCTTCCAAATTTTAAAATATAATATCTATTTTATGAAATAGTGTTCTAATTCCTTTAGCAGATACAATTAAAAACAATATAATAATATCTTTTAATGAAAATAAAAAAAATATACAACAATTTTTATAGATAATTATATTATATAAAAAATTTTAATTTAATAAAAATATATTTATATTTATATTTTCTATAGCAAATATCAAGTAAAATTTTTTTTATGGTTGATGACTAGACTTCATCAAATAGTTTATCTTTTTTGGGAATTACAGCACATTGGATTTCTAAGAATTGGAAATTAAAAAGTTTACTTTGGATTTTATAAAACTTGAAAAATCATATTCAGGTGATA